AATTCTTACTACACTGTTGTTATTATTACCTGCTAAGGAAGTATTTACTGAGTGCTTACTCTGTGCCTTTCAGTACTTCCCATGTGTTAAGCACTTTAATCTTCACAGTAGCACCATGAGGTTTATAATCCTCCTTGATAGATGAGCAGGCTGCAGCCTGGAGGGACTGGATAACCGGCCCAAGGTTACGATTACAGATTACACCGCTGGGTGGTGGAGCCCAGGCCGAGCTGAGAGTGGTGAAATGATGCAACGCCCAACAGGCATTGAGAAGAGAGGAAGGGAAGGATATTCCATAGTAATTAGTCATTTTTGGATAGTTTGTTTAAATGGAAAGTTTAAATGAGTCAGTTTCACATGATGGGCTGTATGACTCTCTGTTTAGAAAGGCTTTTTTTTTTGAGACAAGGTCTCACTATATAGTGCCAGGTTGGTCTTGAACTTCTAGGTGTAAGGAATACTCTGCTTCAGCCTCCTAAGTAACTGGCACTAAGTAGGCTCAACCCTTGGAGAGCTTTTTAAAGCTCTAAAACACAACAGGTTATGTCTGACTATTGTTAGAGAAGTTTGTTTATAAAAAAATCATTAGCTGTTTTCTCAAGAGAGAAAATGAGTATGTCTGATGTTCACTTTAGTGTTTGTTTTTAACAAAGCCCTAAAGAGAGAACTAGTCTCATAGGAGGAAATAGTTATAGAAAGTTTGGTGTTCTGGGCCCAGTGGCACACACCTGTAATCCCAGCTCTCTGCCCTCTGAGAATCAGGAGTATTGCAAGTTCAAGGCCAGCCTGCGCAATTTAGCAAGACCCTGTCTCAAAGTAAAATGAAAATGGCTAAGAAGATACTTCAGTGCCCACTGGGTTCCATCCCTAGTACCACACACACACACACAAGGAAAAGGAAAGAAAAAGAGTCTGATGACACTCCCCTTTTTTTCAAATACAAGTATTCCCAGGCTCGGCATAGTGGTGCACGACTGTAATCCCAGCACTGGGGAGGATGAAGCAAGACGATCACTGCAAGTTGGAGACCAGCCTGGGCTCCATAGTGAGTTCAGGGCCAGCCTAAACTACACAGAGAGATCCTGTCTCAAAAAACAAAACAAAATAAACCAACAAAAAGTCAGTTACAAGTATTCCCTTTTGCAGGGTGCGGTGTAATCCCAGTACTCAGGAGACTGAGGAAGGAGGATTGTAAATTCAAGGCCAATCTTGATAGCAGGACTGTCTCAAGACAAATACAAATCTTCTCTGCCCTTTTACTATTTTTAAAAAAAGAAAAATACATGCTTATTGCAAAGATCTTAAAGTAAAATCCTGTTATTCCATACCTAGGGTTAACTTTATGCAATTTGAAATACAGTGTCTTTCTGGATACCATTCTTGGTCTGTCAGCTCAAACACTTGTCTTTTTTTTCTTGGTCACAAAATTATACTTTACTTTTCACATTCAACACTGTATCTTGGATATATTTCTGTTATCTTTTTTGAAAGCTTTAGGATATTTAAATATTTCATTGTCCTTTAAAAATATGTAAATAGGGCGTGGTGGCGTGTGCCTGTAGTCCCAGCACTCAGGAGGCTGAGGCAGGAGGATTGCCAGGAGTTGGAAGCCAGCCTGGGCTACATAGTGAGTTCAAGGCCAGCCTGACCTACATAGTGAGATTCTGTCTCAAAGCAACAACAACAACAAAAATGTAGATATGTACATGGTTTCTATAATCTTTTAATTTAATGAGTTAAAGTTCATTTTGACATAACTTTCCTCAGTGAACTTCATCTTCTTTGTCTATAAAATGTAGCATTTGAGCTAGTTCATCTCTGAGATGTCTGTGATTCCTCATTTTCCATGAACTTTTAGACCTGTCCACTGCCCCTGCAGAGTGGCTGGCTGTCTTCTCATCTAGCCCCATCTCTGCTGTCTCTCCGGTCCAGCTGGCCTCTTGCCCTCTGCTTAGGGAAGCCAAGTTCTGTCCCTGGATCATGGTTGGTGGCTCAGGAGAGAACAAGGGAGCCAAAGCTCTGAGCCTGGGTGGTCAGGGTTTGAGTCTTAGGGAAGAATACAGCAGTGTGGGTCCACAGGGAGCAATGGGCTCCTGAGACTGTGGTGTCTGTCCTGAGGAACTATCAGCTCAGGGTTAGTGCTGGCTGCTTGAGGCTGAGGTGGATGGGAGGACAGCAGCCCGGGCCTGAGGAGAGAGTGTGGCATTGTTGGCTGCCGTGGCTGGGACAGTGCCAAACTGCTCCAGGACTTTGAGGGCCCGGAGAGGTTGTTGTGTCAGCAGAGCAAATATAGGCTTCTAGATGAGGTACTTGAAATCTTAGTGAATAATTTTGTTGAAATGTTGATATCTTGAATTCATTTACTAATCTAGAGTCCTTTCCTGGTTGTAATATCATTCCCTGTAGTAAAAGGAAGGGAGTGCGTTGCTGGAGAATGACCCGTGTGCCCTCAGTTGAACAAGGAAGTGTGTGCTGAAGCTATTGTAAATAACATGTGGGAAACCCCAGTTTTAAGCCGTTTTCTTTTCTCACCAGGACACTCCCCTCTTTTTTTTATATTTTAAGACTGTGTCTCATTTGCTGAGTTGCCCATGTTGGGCTCAAACTTGCAGTCCTGCTGCAGTTTCCCAGAGTGCTGGGATTGTAGGCCTGTGCCACCATCATCTTTTAAAAATATTAACATTGCACTATTTTAAGTTAAAACGCTTCAATAATATGAGAAATTGTATTAAAATCTTTTAAAGGAGGTGACATGAAAGAAGGGAGATGATTAGAGAACAGGTTGGGGAGAGGAAAAGGGACAAATGGAAGAGAGGGATGATAGGGGAGAAATGATCAAAATATGTTAGATGTATCTACAAATGCCACATTTGTAGATCCGCATGCCACAGTGAATCTCATTGTTCTGGGTAAATAAAATGCACTAATACATAAAAACTAGAAGAAGCAATATGTGTAGTTTAGTGAGTCTCTTTTGTCTTTTCTTGTCTTCTTAGATGTACTTTGGTTTTCAACAGAGTTGTGATTAATGTGTGTTTGATTTTGAGGGTTTGTTTGGTTTTGTTGGTTTTTTGAGACTGGGTCTTGCTGTGTAGTTCAGGCTGGCCTAGAACTCACTATGCAGCCCAGGCTGGAACGCCATTTTAAGTTCTTTTACTTCTACTTTTTAGTGTTACTATACGGTATTCCAGTATATTAAAATGGAAACTTTTGAATTTTCATATTGTTGATAGTTTGTTTAGTCAAGGAATGTCTTAAGATCTTAAGTGAATCTGGGCACGGAGGCACATGCCTGTAATCTCTGCCCTCTGGAAGACTGAGGCAGGAGGATTGGAAGTTTAAGCCCAGCTTAGACAACTTAGTGACTTAATGAGACCTTGTCTCAACATTAAATAAAAAATAAATAAAAGGTCTGGAGATGTAGCTCATTGTGAAGGTTCAATATCCCGCCTCCCAGCAAAAAAAAAAAAAAAAAAAAAGACCTTAAATGAAACATAGCTACGTATCCTCTCTGCTGAGGATGAAGATGTAAGATGTTTTTATTATACTAATAACTTGAAGAACCTACCTAAAAATAGATACAGCTATACTAAGCTAAGTAAAGCGCAGAGGGAAAAAGTTTTACATATAAAGGCTGTACTGTGTTCATTCTTTGGCTAAGATGCTTGCTAAAATTTGCCTTTTTCCTTCTGTTACATTAGCTATCTTCTATCTGTGCCTTGGTTTACTACGAAGTTGTGACTAATGTGTATGTTTGATTTTGAGTCTTTTATTTCTACTTTTTAGTGATACTATATAGCTCTAGTGTATTAACATGGAAACTCGAATTCATATTGTTAGCTAAAACATAGACCTGATTCACTTGCTACAAGTCATTATTCTATGATCAGCTTTGTTAAATTCATTTCATATGATTCTTGTTAACGTGAAGTTTTTTGTTCTGTCTCTTCCAAATTCATTAGCAACTATCTCATTCAGCTCTAACTCTTCCCTCTTTGGCTATTTCTCCCTTTGGTTATTTTCTCAAAACCCAGGTATCTGAAAGAGAGAGAGAGAGAGAGAGAGAGAGAGAGAGAGAGAGAGAGAGAGAGACACACACACACACACACACACACACACACACACACACACACGGCTGCTTCTGTTGAACCCTCCAAGGCTTTCTTAGTGGATGACTCAGCATGATTCAGCAGCCTGCCCTTTTGGGGAGCTACTTTTACAGTTAGTTAATCTATCTTTTAGGCTAAACAAAATTCAGATATGTATCTAGTTTTGTTTTTAATTCAATTCAGTTATGATAACAGATACATGTTAGGATAGGTTAAGAAGTTATAGAGCTTCAGGTTTAAAATAAAGGAAATTTCCGTGATTCAGAAGTAAAAGATTATTTAAAATTTATTTCCACCTCTTTGCAGTATGAATTTTATCTAGGAGTTAGGGTTGGGAATGTCATTAACTGATGAGGTGAGGAGGGTTCACAGCCCGGGGATCACACAAGGACAGTTTGAACAAAATGGACGCTGAGACACTGGTTTTTACCTTTCATTATGCAGTATGTTGTGGGTTTGGGCAATGTCTGACATGTGTTCTGGAAATTCCTTATGAGGAGCTTCTACGCTCCCATGCTGCACTTCACTTATTAATGTGCACTGGAGCCTGAATTCTTCCTGAGTGCTTGCTAGGGAAGTGGGATTGCTGTAGTTCAGTCACTGGTGGCACCGGCGGGGCTGGGATGGAGGCTCTAGCAGGCTGTAGATCCACAGAGTGACAGCTTGGGGTGGTTTTTATGGCGGCCTGAAGGCTGGAGACAAGTTATGACAACATTTATTTTGCTCTCTCCACATTGCTTGAGTCTTTATCTTTGTACTCTACTTCTGCTGACACTGAGTACATTTGCCTGGGTTTCGCTGTGGTGTTGGAGATCAGGCTATGAAAGTATGTTTGAAAATGTTTACTGAGATCTTCCCAAATGATGTGCTTTCTTTTGTATTTCCTTCCAGAATGAAAGCCATAGAGAGTCCCAACAAAGATGACGATACCCAGTGGCTGACCTATTGGGTAGTGTATGGTGTGTTCAGCATTGCCGAGTTCTTCTCTGATCTCTTCCTGTCATGGTTCCCCTTCTACTACATGCTGAAGGTATGTTGGCTTCTAGCTGCTCTTTCCTTCCACTTATATATATTTGCTTTGCTTTGTACCATTAAAATTCCAGCCCAGGACCTGTGTGGGAACAAATGCTTCAGTGTTAGACATCGTAGATGTTGTCTCAGATTATAAATAAGACAGGATCCAATGTCAAACTTCCTTTGTATACTGTCTTAGAAAATAGCCAGAGCAGTTGTATGTTCAAGATGGAAATACTAGAATCTAAATATAGATGTGTTTGCTTAGAGCTGTCTTTGTATACTTTGATGTGGAAGCATTGCAAATGTCAGCAGGTCATTAATTATTCAGTGGTGAGCAGTGAGTCATTTCTGGAAGGAAAAATGCTCATTTCTTTTATAGGTTTAGAGAAAGAGGATGTACAGTTAGCTCTCTGATAAAGTCAGTTTAGTGACTTTGATAATTACAAAGTCAGGGATCAGCAGGAACAACTGTAGTTACTAGCAACTGGCCCGGGGGGAAAGGGATAGGAAATTTAAACTTAGTCATAATGGAACTTGTATAGACTCCGGACTTGTACCAGAAGTGAGAATGAAAAAGTTCACAACTCTTAATGGGTAGAGTGGTTCTTTTCACGAACTGGGATGAGCTGTCTGGAGAGGATCTGTCAGGTCATTTGGACATACAGCCTCTGCTTTGAGGTAGCTGGTATGATGTAAATGATGCCTCCCGTCCTCAGGCTCTGACTTGCAAACTGAAGGAGCTGGATGGTGTGGTGTGCCCAACTCAGGAATTCTAGGGCCTTTTCCTTCCCTTTCTTTTCATAAGTATTCATTTTAGTAAAAGCTACACATGCCATGGTTTAAAGATTCAATAGTTCTGTAAGGTTTTACATCAGTTCTGCACCTTCTTAAATGCAGCCACTTGGTCACTTCATTTATGGTAATTGTCATTTACCTCTATGTTGCTGAAAAATAGGCTTGGTTTAAGGACTTTTTTCTATTGTATACATTAGCTCTTGATTCCCCCTGAAAGATATATTTTGCCTCTTTTTTTCCATTGGCCTTGCCACATGTATGCAGCCTTTCCTTGTCCCCATCCTACTAATGTGTGTACCTTTAGTCACTGCTTACTGAATTATGACTTTGAAAATGCTGAATTTTGACTATAGTATACGTGTAGTGTTGTTATTTCCTCTGCAACTAATAATTGTTATATATTCAAACATATTTGTAGCATCCTTAGTATTTGTCTTGCATAACCTGCATGTCTGTGTACTTTTAACATATGGTTAATAATCTATTTTAAAATTCTTGGTCAGTCAATTCTAATATTTTTACTCCTCTCAGAATCTGTAGTTGATTATGTTGTTTTTCTTTTAGAATGGTTGTATTCATCAAATATCTTACAGTTTTGGCCTGCAAACTCACTTTCCTTCAGGGCTTTCAGATGCTCTGCCAGGGTGTAGAGTGGAAGAAGCCACACCCAGGCCATCCTGGTCTTGCATATTCAGTTTGGGTAGCAGGTGGGGCTCATGGCAACCCCACTCAGAGTTTGGCCCTGAGCTGCAGAGGAGCCAGTTAATAACTCTTCTTCCAACCCCCCAACTCCCTGGGTCTAGGCTTTGCCCTCCCTCTCCTGGGTTGTAATTCACAAGCCTATGTGGCAGCTTGGAGTGGGGGTGGTAACTAGTCCCCAGCTTTTTTCTTCAGCGCCTTAGAGGATCAACAGTTTTATGCCAAAATCTTTGTTTTGTTTTTTGGGTTTTTTTTTTTGGTACCAGGGATTGAACTCGGGACCTTGCGCTTCTGAGGCAGGCAGCGGAACCACTGAGCTAAATCCCTGGCCCCTAAAATCTTTGATTTAGAAAAACGTAAATGAGAAAGTTTTTCAATGTTGAGCTATAGAAGAAAAATGCAAAAGATACAAAGAAGAAAGATTTGATAAATTTGGCTAAATAAAATTTTTGAAAATTAAATTTCTGTATGACAGTGAGCAGTATAAACAAAGTTAAAATGACAGACTAAGAGATATAATTACAATATTTATACCAAATAAGAAACTAATACCCTGAATATGTAGAAATTTTTCCAAGTAAAAAGAAAAACGGGTGAAGCTCCTATATGGATATTTCATAGAAAAGAAAAAATATGAGTGACCAGAAAATATCTCACTAATGATCTGGGAAATGTGAATTCAAATAGTGCAAGCTTGTATTTTTTTTTTGGTACTGGGGATCGAACTTGGGACCTTGTGCTTGTGAGGCAGGCGGTGGAACCACTGAGCTAAATCCCTGCCCCTGCAATCCTGTATTTTGCTCATTATATTGGTAGGTATTTTGAAGATTGAAAATTCCTGGTATAGATGTGTACCCGGAAGTGGACTCGTGGTGTGTAACTGTGAAAGGTCTGTTGCTGCTGAGAGAGCCAGTGGCTTAGAGACACAGTGATGGGAGAGGAAGGGAAGGGGCTTTCGAGCAAGGAGCTAGTGCCTCTGTGAGAAGGCTTTGGTGGGCTTTCCTGTGGGAATGGGATCTCAGTCCTGGAGTGCGTCCAGGGACCCTAGTGTGGAGAAGTGGCCAGTTCTGGAATGTGTGCACATCTTCTCCTGGGCCCAAAGTCACATAGTCATCCTGGACCTGTGACTCTAGGGGAACACAGTTGTTTAGAGGTCTGTGTGCCTGCTTTCTAGCTGGTCTCTGCTCTATACTTTTACAGCTTCCTTTGAATTAGGACTTTTCCTGAAGCCTGGAAGGGGGGTGTTAGTGCTGTCAACCAGCTGTAGTTAGTTGTGAAGATGTGCAGGGAGAAAATGTCACCATGTATAAATTGAAAAGGAAGGAAGAAAAGGAGAAAAACCTTTCAGCTTGGAGGTGGCTTCCGTAGTAGTGGTACTGGTAATGAGTAGGGGCGTAAGTTAGAATAGCCTTTCTGGGGCCGGGGATTTAGCTCAGTGGTTTCACCGCCTGCGGCACAAGCACAAGGACCCAAGTTCGATCCTTGGTACCAAAAAAAAAAAAAGAATAGTCTTTTCCCTAGGCTATTTGACAGTTTCTTGTTGAACTGAAAATTAACACATTAACAGTTCTGTCCTAAGGAAATATCCACAGTGCATAAAGGCGGCACAAAGATATTCACTGCAGCAATTTTTGTTATAAGTAAAAGGAACAATTGAAAGTTCCATCAACAGACGAATAAGTGAATAGTACAGTACATCCACACAGTTAAGTGGAATGAAACAGATCCATATATATATATATATTTTTGCATAATTCATTAATCATAAAAAATTATAGATCACAGATAGTGTGACACTATTTGGTAAAAAAGATGAGGTAAATTTTAAAAATCGATGAAAACATATTCAGTATAGATTGCTTTCATCACCACAGAATGCCTTTTAAGACAGTTGAAGGATTTTCCTTTCAAAATATATAGGAAAATTGATCTGCAGAAAGATTTAAGATTTCAAAGATTGCTGGATATTTTTGGTATGTTTTGTTATTCAAAGACTTTGTGTTTATAAAATATTTTATAATCTTTAATTTGGGTGTAACATTTTAAACATCAGATAATTCTGAAGCCCTTAATAGGATCTGTCCAATGGCACTGACCATTAGTGCAGTGTCTAATGGAAAGAACTTTTGTCCTGGGCCCACTTGCTGTCTGCAGTAAACAGTATCACGTCAGCAGAACTGCTTCCGCCAGTATCTGACCTCCACTTCTCGAGCATGAGCAGCCTGACTTCTAGCCTTCTCTTGATCAACTCTGCTAATGAGACCACAGATAGGGAGAGAGCCCAGAAGAAGAGACAAACACTGAATCATTTCTGTTTGGTTTAGAAGTACATTTTAAAAATTGCGTTGTAGCAGATTTTCTTCTCTAAAAGGTAAAATGAATGCATCCATTAGAAGTCTCCAGCTTCACAGAATCATGGTGTGGGCGAGAGTGAATTCACTGTGTGTTCCAAATAGATAAAATACTTGAGTGAATTAAAAATTGATTCTGGTCATCAGAATGCTTTCTTCCTGCATTAGTGGCATTGTGAGTGGCTCCAGTGAACAGACTGAGTCTCTGAATTGCAGAGTCTGTGGAAGTTGAGGAGAATTTCACATTTTAAGGACTAGCATAAATCTCACCTGTGCTGTGCAGCAATCACGTAATGATTGTATGAGATTGTGTGAAAGAGAGCTGGAAGCTTAGTAGTTTATCTTTTGCAGAATTACTGTTATATTAGCCAGCTTTCCTGTTGCTGAGGCGTAACACTTGACACACACAACTGTTTTTTTTTTGGTACCAGTCTTGTGCTTGTGGGGCAGGCGGCAGAACCACTGAGCTAAATCCCCGGCCCAACACCCACAACTTTTAAACACTTTTTTCCATTTCCCAACGTCCATTATACATTTCAGTCCTTATTTCCACTTTTGGTTTCTCACATAAGAGAAACAACTCGGTATTCAAACATATGTGTCCGATTTATTTCACTTAAGAGTATGGTCTCAAGGTCCATCCATTTAACTATAAATGTCTGAAGCTCATCCTTCGTTAAGGCAGACTAGTACTCCATTGTATAAAAAAACCCCACATCTTCTTTATCCACTCACCAGTTAATGGGCACTTGGGCTGTTTCCAAGGTTTAGCTATTACAAACTGTGCTGCTATAAACATGGATGTGCATATGTTGCTGTTGTATGATACGTTTAAGTCATTTTTTGTTTTGCTTTTTTTTGTTTTTTTTTTGTTTTTTGGTACCAGGGATTGAACTTGGGTCCTTGCGCTTGCAAGGCAGGCGACAGAACCACTGAGCTAAATCCCGGGCCCTGATACTTTTAAGTCTTTCAGGAAGATACCAAGAAGAGGTATAGCCAGGTCAAATGGAACCTCTAGTTTTAGTTTCTTGAGAAATCTCCGCACTGATTGCACCCATCTACATTCTCACCAATAGTGGAGCAGAGTTCCTCTTTGCTCACAGCCCCTCCAGCATTTGTTATTGGTTGATTTCTTGATAGCAGCCATTCTTTCTGGAGATGGAGTCTCAGTGTTGTTTTAATTTGCATCTCTCAAATGACCAGTGCTGTTGCACATTTTTCTGTGTAATTGCTGTTGCTAATTCTTTACCTGAGAAGTGTTTTTCATTTCAGATGACCATTTTTGCAATGGGTCTTTAAATTTGGGGGGGTCTGATTTTGAGTTCTTTATATATTCTAGATAATAGTCCTTTATCTGAACAGCTGGTAAAAATTTTTTTCCAAGGGCCGGGGATTTAGCTCAGTGGCGCCACTGCCTGTCTTGCAAGGCCAAGGTCCTGAGTTTGATCCCCGGTACAGGGCAGCGAAAAAAAAGAATTTAAGAAAAAAATGGAAACAAAGTCTATGTAAATAGGGAAGGGTGGAGGAGGTGAAGGGTGCACAGGTAATGGGGAAAAAGTAAGAACCAGTGTTCATCATGTACAGGTACAAAGCACCCAATGATAAATGTAGAAGTAAGGTATACCTAAAATGTACCAATAAAAGAATTTAAGCAAGAAAATTTTTTTTCCCCACTCTGTGGGTTGTCTCTTCATTCTGTTGGTGGTTTCTCTTGCTGTGCAAAAGCTTTTTAATAAGACGAGGAGGTCCCAGTTGTTGATTCTTTTAGTATTTTCCCCGCGGTCTGGGTTTTGTTCATGAAGTCTTTGCCTACTCCTATGTCCTCAAGCATCTACCTATTCTCTCTTCCAGCAGATTTAGTGTTTCTGTTTTAATATTTAGATCTTTGATCTATTTCAATTTTAGGTTAGTGTGCGGTGAAACATACGGGTCTAGTTTCAATCTTTGGCATGTGGAAAACCAGTTTTTCCAGCATCATTTATTGAAAAGGCTTTCTTCCAGTGAAGGTGTTTGGCTCCTTTGTCAAAGGTAAGGTGATTGAGTGCTGACACCCACAACTTAAAGGAGAGGTTTAACTTGGCTCACGGCTTCAGAGACTTCAGTCCCTGCTTGGCTGGAGCCAAGGCAGGAGCATCATGGCAGAAGGGTGTGGTGGCATAAAGGTGCTTGCTTCATGGTGGCCGGGAAGCCGAGCAGGGGACAAGCACCAGTGAGAGATGCACCCTCCAAGTGCATCTCCGTCCCTATGGATGTGAACTTCTTTGGGCCCCACCTCTAAACAGCACATTCAGCTGTGAACATCAGTGGGCCAGTTCATTGATGGGTAGAGTACCCCACGACCCAGTCGTCTTTGCAGGAGGCTCTTAATCCAGTCAAGTGGATATCAAGATTAACCATCATATATATTGTTAGCTTTTTTTTCATTTTTATAAAGTGGCCTATAGAATTGGAGGAAAGTATGAGGAATCAATGGCCAGGCATCAAAGCATGTTTGAGATAATATACAATGTCTTTACCTAGAGACTGGTTCATACACGTCCCGACCTTTGCTTTGAGGTCTATCCTTGAGAAGTGTTGGAAGATACTTTTAAAAGCCTTTCTTCTCTGTGAAATTTATGTATGTTTCATTATTTAAGTTTTTACATATAGAGCCCTATGTGCCAGATTCAGTTCTAGGTTTAGGGAATGCTTTGGTGACTAAAATAAAGTCCTTGATGTCATGCTGTTTACAAATGCTGTAGGGGGGCATGTTTTAGATAGAGAAGAAAATAACATTTGTAATCCTACTATGGTGACCATTTTGTAGTCTTCCTTTTTGTGTGCAAATACATTGGTCTGTGTAAATAAAGATACACAAACATTTCCCTTAGGCACTTGTGTGTGCTTGAGGCCACATTCAATATATGTGATTCTGCATCTTCAGGTTAGCACGAATGTTTTCTCATGTTACTAGATATTTGGCATAGTTATTCAGTCTTATAATTTACCGACTTCCCTGTTCACATGTTTCACTATTATGTTGCAAGGAGCATCTCTACCTTATGTTTACTCTCATTTAAGTGGTGTTCTAGATTTCTAGAACAAGTTAGACTCTGGTAAGCTTAGGTCCTGATCTAGATTATCACTGTGCATTTCCTCCCATTGCCAGAGCATGGGGTTTCTCTTTTTCACCTTTGTAAGTGGCCAGAAAATAGGGAAATCTTCTCTGATATGTTCTTTTTGAGCTTTTATTTGTGCAGGCAGAGCAACTCCCCCTGTTCTCCAATAAGATGGGGTCTCACTGATTCCCAGATTAGCCTTGAATTCCCAAGGTCAAGCAGTCCTCGTGCCTCAGCCTCCCAAGTGCCCAAGGTTACAGGTGCATGCCACCTTGCCTGGCTTGAACACCAAATTTTTAATTTAGCCCATCAGTATTTTTTTTTTTTTTGGTACCGGGGATAGAACTCGGGTCCTTGCACTTGCGCAGCAGGCGGCGAAACCACTGAGCTAAATCCCTGGCCCCATCCCATCACTATTCTTGAAAATACTTTCTAGGATGTATGGTTTCTGATCAAGTTATTAGAGCATACTTAGTGTGTAAATTTTTTTCTGACATTAACACTCAGTTCTGACCAGGATAGTTCCCTCTGTGTGCCAAACATATTTCTATCCTAGAAATATTTCTTCAGGAGAAAAATTGGACGGTGAGAAGATTGGAAACACAGAATTGTCTAACCTATTGTGATTTATGGATTCATTGTGTCAGTACTAATAGTCACAAGAGTTCAGTTGGGAAAGCATGCGCTCTGACAGGCAGATAAGTTGTAGGGACCCATGGGAGAATTGTCAGCTGGCACTTTGAGGACAGCTTGATTAAGAGGACAGCAAATCTGTGTGGGTGACTTTAATTAACTTGGGGTGCTCCTGAACTGCATAAGTTAGATTAGGAAGAGGGGGTTGTAAAAGCTGGTGGCAGAATATAACCTTGAGAATTGAACAGTAATTAACTTTATTAATATAAGAAAGTAATTTCACTTGAGAACTGGAAAGTGCTAAGGATGTCGGTAGAGAACAGTAATTATTTAACTGTCTCAAGATAATAGCTAGAGGTACTAGAAAGTAGTAAGCTAACTATCTGGCATGTAGCCTACCAAGTAACCACACTGAAGAGATTCACAGATGTAAATGCCGACCCTGCCCTGTTTGGAAGTCTTGCCTCAGCTCAGCCAGAAAAGATAATCAGTGTGGCTGGATTGGTGAAGGGTGGGGACCTACATAGACAGATGTTTCAAGGGTAACACTACTGCTAATAGACTTTCTTCAAATACATGAATTGTGACTTTGCTAAAACCCTACGGAAGAGAAAATTAACGCTTAGGTTGAGTTGAGTAGTCACAAAACAGACCCCAGCTTCCAGTTATTGATCCATTGAGTCATTTTCACTTCACTTTTTTTTTTGGTACCAGGGATCGAAGTTGGGACCTTGTGCTTGCGAGGCAGGCAGCGGAACCACTGAGCTAAGTCCCTGGCCCATTTTCACCTCACTTTGATGCTCGTGGTTCTGATGTGGGTGGGTGTCTGTCCATGAATAATCCATTCCTGCAAGTCAGACATTCTGTGGAGGAATACCAGTTTTTTGAGAAGGGGTCTTGCTATGTTGCTCATCCTGGCCTGAAACTCCTGGGCTCAGGTGCCTCAGCCTCCCAAGTAGCTGAGCACATACCACTGCACTGGCTCCTTCATTGTAAGTGAGAAAAATTTAAATGTGTTCTATGGCCTAAAACTCCTAACCAGTTTCCTATATAATAAAGCATAGCAAAAACATATTTAGGTAGCAAATATATTGGGATGTTAGATGTTAAAACTAACTGCTGTCAAATAGTCAATAGCGTTGGTAGGATACTACTGCTTTGTGACTACAACCCCTTGGCACTGTTCGTGCTCTTCAAAATGCCCATGAGGAGTTCTGGTGTTTTGTCAAAATTGTTACCTCAACATTTTGTTTACTATGCTGAGTTTGGGTGTGTATGTATAAGCATATCCTGTATAAAAGCGATCGTGGAAAAGCAGGAAGCTTGGGTATGAAAACTTAGTCTTCCATAGGGAACTAGGGAGATGGTCTGCAGGGTCCACTGAAATTCACCTGGCACTAGGCAGAGGAAAGGAAAGGTGCAGCCAGTAATAAATGCAGTCCCTTTGTTCTCATTGTGTGTTAAAGCAAATGTGCCACTCTGGTTCCCTTTGGCAGCATCTTTTAGTTTCCTGAGATCTGCTTGCTGGCCAGACAGAGAGGCTGGAGCCAAGTAGCTGGGAAAATTAACAGTAAACATGGAACTCCCCATGCATACTGAGGGTAGTTGAAGGCACTGGCTTCATGGGACCCTTAACAGCTGGGTCGGCACTGTGAGGGCGGGTTGGAGTCTGTGCTTGCCCGTTCACGTTTGTGGTGTTGCTGTATACTTGTAGTAGTCTCATCTTTACCCTTCCCTCTCTGTTGTGGCCACTTTCCCTTCCTTTGCTTTCCTCACTCAAAATCCCATTATCTAGGCTGTGGCTTCTGGCTGGGCACAGGTAGCGGCTGTGGTGTCATCAACGTGGGGCAAAATTCAGCCGTCCCTGGAGTTACATTTGTAGGTGCAGGTGAAGACAGAAGAAGCAGTCTTTCCACTTTACCCTCAAGGGCTGCAACGCGCCTATTAGTATCTCCCACCGTGGAGAAAATCTTCTCAAGCATAGCCTCAGTGGTGTCTGTGGTCCTCCGTACTTTCGGGCTGCTTGTCGAGGAGATCCTCTCTGAGAGCCGCCTCAGCACCTCCTCCACGGTCCGCTCTACATTGAGGAACATCTCCGCACTGCTAGGCTGCCGCACTGGGGCATTCCTCCCAGGGGCCTCTTGCATCTTGTGCAGTGTCGGGGCCTGCACTTGGGCGTGGAGAAGAGTGATTCTGGCCTTGAAGGAAGAGTAAAGCCCGTGAGGATGCACAGGATAACCAGGGGTTTTACCTATAGCTGTTACAGTCACTCATTCTGCATATGAGTATTTGATGGTGTTTTATCACCTAATTTTGTTTGCACATTTACATATTGAAATGTATATATTATTTTTGTATGTCATTACTTTGGATTTCATTTCAGGTAGTAAAAGAGTTACAAAATATTTAAATATTCTTGGTTCTAGGATTTGCTATTCTCCACGTAAAGCTAACAGATTAGCCTGTTACTATCTTTGAATATTGGTAGAAGACACAGTATTTTTTAAGACATAGTATTCTTGCAATAGAGACAAAGCCCTTACTATTTCAATAGTAATATTTCAAGTGCTTTTTATTATTTTACAAAATTACAAGTGGTAGATTGGTAAATTTCAATTTATACCTATTTTATAGAAGGGAAAACATACTTAAGCAGTTAAGTAATTTACATAGGTTTGCCCAGGTATTATGGCATGAACAGGATACTAGTGTCTCTGAGCCTGTCTCTTATCTCTGTACTACCCTGATTCAGAGTCCCTGTTTGTAGCTAGCCCCAGTAGCACAGGAGGGTCACTTGCACCCAGGAGTTTGAGGCCAGTCTGGGTAACAGACCCTTCCTTGGGGGCGAAAAAATGTATGTATATCTGTATTACTTGTTTGTTAGCTAGAGAAATATGTGTTCATTCTTATTAATTTCAAGTTTGAGATCAAATTCTGATGGAAATATTAAAATTTATAATTATGGATTTAGTTCTGAATTTTAAATATTTAAAAAATTTTACATATTCCAAAGATAAATAATTATCACAAGATAAAATTACAGACTTATATAAGACCAATTTATATATTTGAAAGAAATGTATAAGTTCAGGAATTTTAATCTTGAATATTTGCCTTATGTTTATTAATATTACTATATAAGCCATCTTGGGAGTTCGTATTTGTCAGGTACCTCTTACAGCTATAATCTGAAAAACTGCTGGACCTAGTATGCTTTATCTTTTCTTTTTCACTCAGCTTTTCCTTCCTAGCTCATTACTGGTCATGTTTCTGTCCATCTCCATTAGCCTACAGAAGACATGGGCAGCGGTGCCCCTGGATAGCCCTCCCTCCCAGGTCGCAGTGGACAGAGCGCCCTGCACCGCCGCCCCTCTCACCTCACTGAGCCTGTTCTTCCTCCCTGCAGTGCGGCTTCCTGTTGTGGTGTATGGCCCCGAGCCCTTCTAATGGAGCGGAGCTGCTCTACAAGCGCATCATCCGTCCTTTCTTCCTGAAGCACGAGTCCCAGGTAGACAGTGTGGTGAAGGACCTGAAAGACAAAGCCAAAGAGACTGCAGATGTCATCACTAAAGAAGGTGAGACCCAAGGACAAGTTGGTTCACAGGTGGAGAAGATAGGAGCATTGGCTCAAATACCATTAAGGCTTCCTGGCCACCTTGTCCTCTCAGCTTTCCTCAGCCAAACGCCAGGCCATATAAAGGGATTTCTGTACCAAGAGTTTGCCTGGTTGCCCTCACTTTTCCCTAGTTCTTACTTCCTGACACATTAGTGCAGCACACTAAGAAAAATGACTTCCCTACTGGAGGCAGAGATATTAGAGAATCATATATATTTACTTATAAACATAGTCTCTTTAATTCAGTTCAGGGTGATCTGTTTAGTGTTTTGAATGGTTTCTGTTACAGAGCCAAAAGAATACTCTTTCTCAGCCCCTCTAATTGATTCATTCAAATATTATTGAGGTATTTAATATGGCCCAAGCATGTTCCTAGCACTGGCAGTCAACCAAAGAGACCATACTCCTTTATGCTTATGGTCTAGTTGAGACTACAGTCTAGTTTAATGATTAAAGTATTATATGAAGTATTTATCAGATGAGAAGAAATAGACAGAAGCATATTGAGTAACAGGGACTAGAGGAATGGTTACAGTTTTAAGCAGGGGAATTAGGAAATCCTTACCAAGAAGGCTGTACTGAACATAGTAAAGAAAAGAACAGTGGGGAAGAATGTTCCAGAAGGAGCTGTACATGCAAAAGCCTTGAGGTAGGAGTACAAAGGAAGTGATCTAGAGGGATAGGAGGAAGAGACAAGGTCAGAGAAGTTGGGGTAGAGGCTGGACAGCAGGTCACATTATGCTTTATAGGCTTTTAATTTTTCATGTGAAGTAAAATGGTTTTAGAGCATTTTGAGCAGAGGAGAAACATTATCTTTCCTGTGTTTTGATAAGATCACTATGGTCACTACACTAAGAATGGATTTAGAGAAGTGGAAATTGGGAGACTAGTTAAAAGGTTACCCACTAACTGGCTGGGATGGTGAGAGTCTCTTGGAAGGGATAAGAAATGCCAGTAGCGGGGGATAAGAAATCCAATGTCAGGGATTTAGCTCAGTGGTTCCGCTGCCTGCCTCGAAAGCACAAGGACCTGAGTTCAATCTCCAGTACCAAAAAAAAAAAAATGCCAATAGGATTTCCTCAGGAATCAGGCCTGGAATCAGAGAGAAGTCAAGGCTAACACCCAGCTCTTCAGCCTTAATAGGTAGGATGATGGAATTGGCATTCAGCTGGGGAAGACTGGGTAGTACAGATTTAGATGGAGGAAAATACAGAATTCAGTATGGGACATATGTTTAAAGTGCTTCTTAGATATTGCCTGGAGTAGTCAACAGCCAGTTGGATGTAGATGTCAAGAGTTGAAGAAACAGCTCTGGATTGGGGATTTAGGGAGATGAGAAGTCATCAGCCAAGCAGGCCAGTAGGGAAGGAAGGGCCCCTTGAAGCAAGTCTTGAGAGTGTAATGTCCTTGGAGCCAGATGAAAGTGTTTCAAAGAGGAGGAAGTGACCCACTTGTCACATGTAAAGACTGGGTAAGTGAAGACTGAGCACTGATAGACTTAGCAATAAGGAGGACACTAGTGATTGAGAAGACATGTTTTTGCAGTGTGAGAACAAACTCCTATCTGGAAGAGATTTCAGAGAGCAGGAGAAAAGGGATGGAAGAGTATAGAAATCTCCTGCAAAGGAGAGCAGAAGAATGGGGCCATGAGGGGGAGGAGGAACTAGGGTCCTGAGAATTTTAAAACTTTTTCTTAGGGTAGGAGAAATAAGGCATGTTTGAAAACCAGTAGGAATGATCGGTTAGCAAAAAATGATGATAGGGTGTTGGTCTGAGGGAAGCTCTTCCAAAAAAAAAAAAAACCTCCACCAACAAATAAATGATAGGAGAGAGTGAACTGCTGGAGCTCTGTCCTTGACTGGGTCAGAGAGACAATCTGGTGTGCACAGAGACTGAGCAAAGGACCTGGAACATTTTACAACAGGAGGGAAACCAGGGTTTGTGGGAGAGATGCTAGTTAGGCAGGCATGAGTGGCTGTGGGAGCATCAAGTAGTAATTTTCTAATGGCTTCAGACTCCTCCGTAGAAGAGGAAGGCAGGCCACCTGAGAGATGCTGGGGAAGGAGGCGGTGGGAAGAGGAGATATGAATGAACAGCCATATAGGATAGAGGTCGGCAGAAGTTCTGCAGAGGACCAGATTAACAAGACTTCAGACTTGGGGCTGTCAAGGTCTCTGCAACTACTCAGCTCTGCCATTGTGGCCCTAAAGCAGCCCAAGACCTTATGTGGGGACGTATGGTGGTAGTTTTCTGGTCTCTCGGACGGTGGGAAAGGAAGTGGACTGGCATGTTGTCATGAGGACTGCCAGGCAGCTTTACTCACTTGAGATCTGTGTTCATGAACTCAAGGTGGGATGTTCACCTTTGTTTTTCTCCAGCTGCATTCACTACAGGGTGGCCGCAGAGTAAGTGGAGAGTTGTGTCAAGGTTGTGATTTTAAGCAAGAATGATGGGGCATGAGTGGGACTATGGAATGGTTAATGTTTGATGATGAAATTTAAGTTGGGTAAGGGCAGAAGAGTAAGAGTAAGAGAAGGACTCCGAAGCATAACGGAATGAGCGGCAGAGATACAAGGCGATGGTGGAGAGGGATTCTGGAGCCACCACAGCTACTGGTAATGACAAGCGTCATGGCAGGAGTGCTGTGCTGTAGGCTGGATGGAATATAACGGATATCGTAGGGGAGGAACTAAGAGGTTCAAGATATTAGAAGAGTTATGTCTACATGAATATTAAAATAGATTGACATTAAGTGTTGGAGATACTCACTTAGGAGCTAAAATCGTCAAGAAATGAGACCGTATGGGCTGGGGATGTAGCTCAGTGGTGCTGTGCCTGCCTGGCAAGCACAAGGCCCAGAGTTTGATTCCCAGTACCAGAAAAAAAAAAAGTTAGACAGTAGGCTAAGAGTCAGAGGACTAGGGAAAGGTGAATGGGTGATAGAATCTGATGTGTGAGATTCTGAAAGTGGCAGTGAAGACAGGCAGTGCCTACCAGCTCCCCAGAGCCAGGGGCACTGGGTCATGGGAAGAAAAGCCAGCTGCGACTTGAGCAAGAACTTCCTTGGGGACAGCAATGCTCTGCCAGCAGGAAGGTAAAGAAAACTTTCAAAGAATGGGGATCGAGAGTCTGCTGGTGACGGCTTTGAGTTCCAGAGGGGCTCAAGGGCTGGAGAAATTGAGAAGTGGGTGGTGGACATTGTTTACGGGATATCTGTTAGAGCTCCATGGTAGTTAGGTCAGGAGATGAGAGGTGGGCTGACCACTGTGGACGTAAGATCTGCCGCGGCAGGGCCCAGCGGCACTGAGGCTGGGAGGAGTGATGCCCCCATTTCTCCCTCCTGGAGCTCATTTCCCTTTGGGTTTCTGTGTCTGGGGATAAACACCAGTCTGCTTCATGACATTTTGCTGTAACTTTAAAAACCTTCACTTCCTCCTGCCTCAGGAGCTCTAGTTCAAGAGCTTTCTTTTCTGTTCCTCTTTGCCCATAGCCTGACAGGCAGCCTGTGCTGGTGTTGTCTCTGTCTTGTGCACCCGTATTTATAGCTCTCGGTCTCGTACTCATGAGCACTCTGCAGTCAGTCTAACTCGATATGACGCATTCTGAACCAGGCATAAAAATCAAGAGCAACTTGGGTGTTGACACATTTAAAACATTTCTCAGAACTTCTGGATTCCCTAGGAATTTTATATATAGGGCTAGTTGAGAGGCTGAAATTCCTTCTTTGTAACTTTGTCCAACAATTCTAATTGAGGAAAGGAGGAGCAGCTGTCGGGCAGCTGGTGGACAAAGAGGGCCCCCTTGGCTCTCATCACCGAGCTCATCTGTGCTCCATCAGAAACAGCTGCAGTCTGTGGACTCACTGTGGCTTCCCGACAGCCTCCTTGCCTCTGTGCCCTACCATGTCACCCCACGCACTGGTTCTTACAACACATTCAAAGCCTCTCCCCATCATAGGGGGTGCTCACAGTGAGGAAGAGAAATACTTCTAGTGCTGGAATGAGCCTTTCTCTGATTTTTGTCACCACAGGATAGATATGACAACTTAGTTCTCAGATTGAGGAGTACAGAAATCTTACAGGGAAAGTACCCGAACGCAGGTGAGATTCTGGTTATATAAAGGAACACTACTGCTGTGGAATCTCTGCTTTTGATGCTTACAGGAGAGTAGAGGGCAAGTAGTTTAGGTGACACTGTCGTAACAGGGCTAAATTTTGCTCAAATCTACAGCATTTGTGTGCTGCAAAGGTTCTCTGTCCATTTCGTGGAAGCCCACCCAGCCCTGACCACAAACCTCAGCGTGCTCTCATCTGCCCATGAGTCATCTAAGTTTTGTTATTTGCTAGCCAAATTAGGCACGGAGCTTGTATTACAAAAAGTTTTGAAAAAATTTTCTTTTCCTTCTAATAGCCAAGAAAGCTACAGTGAACTTACTGGGTGAAGAGAAGAAAAGCACCTAGATCCTCAGCTGGATGGAGCTTTCCTGCCTTCTCCATACCTCCCTCGTACAGCTTGATGTTATGTCAGGGACTGTGGTATAATCATTTTGATAATGTTGCCTTGGAAACATTTTTGATATATTAAAAAACAAATGTGTTGTAAGTTTTTTTGCTTTCACTATCTGTATACATAGAGAACATTAATTTAAATTTAATGCAGTGGGCAATATCTAAATTTTTGAAAATATATTTTTCCCCTGGGTAGGAAAAGATGTGTGTGTCATTATCCTGCAGGAAATATAAAGTCAAATAAAATTATGTATCCCACAGGCTCCCTACTTTACTGGGGTCGCTCTGCATGCATTTTCTCTGTATTTAACATTTAGTCTTTATGTTTCTACATCATGTAATATAAAATTTCATAGAATTCTTAAATGTCTCAATGTATTTATGTATATAAAGAGAAATGTTGCTATGACTGTAATGTGCATAATGCTCATGAGGAAGGGGGTGGAGGGGAAGTTATACATTCATTTATAAATTCTGTACAGTGGGACCACCTGCCAAAAGCAGAAGGTACCATTCTACTGGTGTGATCTGCTAAATACTACTTCAGAAAACAAATACAAATTAGTAATGTTCAAAGTGAGAGATGCAATTGAATGCACATTGGCCTGGTTACTTTCCTAACATTGTAGTCCTGAATATTAGTCACTCTTGTGTTAAGCAGTGAAATTTATATACATGTTAGTCTGTAGCTCCCAATTCCCTGTAGAAATAGTAATGCTATCTTATCTACTTAAGCTTTAGATTTGTCTGTTTTTAAGTAAAATGAAAGCCATTCCTGGTTTTACCTTCATAGCTGAGTAATTTATTTTAGTCTTTTTTTTCCCCTCTGTCCTTTTTTAAACCAGTTTAAGAAACCTTTCAAGACACGATGCCAGAGGTGTTCTTGTTTATATCACTAGCACCAGCACACCAGTGACGACACCTAACCTAAGAGCATTTCTGGGAGGATTAAAGGAAATAGGGTAAAATCTGCCATCTGGTTGGAAGTGGTCAAGTCAAACTGCCTTCAGCTTTTTCTCTGGATTTTAATGTCAAAGTTAAGGCTTCCCTAGTTTACATGAGTTGACTAGACTAAAACAAATGTATAATGAAATTAAGAAGATTAAATAAAGATTAGCTCTTCTTCAAATGATCTGATCATAATGATACCTAATGATGTAAAAAATTAATCACAAATAAGGGATATTATCACCTAAATGTAATATGGATCAGCACCTGTTTTTCCAAAAAAGAAAAAAAAAAGATTATTAGGTGTCTTCAAGAAAACAGTAAACTTTTTATAAAAAAAAGAATTGGTTTTTGGAGGGGAAAAAAAATATCAAGCCTTAGGTTAGAAAAAGTTCTCTCTAAAAGTATTGCAATCTCTGCCATAAATTGAAGTACACGTTTAGTGGGACACAGTGACATGTGCCTGCAATCTCAGCTAGTTGGAAGGCTAAGGAGGATTACAAGTTCAAGGTCAGTGTGTGGAATTTAGCAAGACTGTCACAAGAAATTATAAGAACTAGGCATATAGCTCCACAGTAGAGCACTTGGTAGCATTTGTGAGTATTCTAGATTCCATCCTCAGTACTAGAAAAAAAAGTACACTTCATGGTGTACTTTTCTAGCATACAAAATGTGTAATCATACTATTTGTATACAGGATATATTATTAGGATGAGGTGGCATAAAATATTATAATTACAGGTTAATCAGTAAAAAAACTACAATAGTAAAATATAAATGCAATTTTTTTGTTGCCTTAATACCACAGCTTGCTTCTATAGTGCATTTGATAAGAAATTTAAGTTGTTTTTTGGCAGCTTAAGTGTACATTAATGGCAAAAGTTATGAGTTGAGTAATTCTGTCTCTATGCCAATTTCCCAAATAAAATATTGCCATTAACTGGATGGAAAACAAATCATTTATTTGTACATGAATGGTATTTCAAGGGTATGTGAGGTTATAGAATTTCTCCTAAACACTGAAATTCTTCAAAATGAAGGAAAGAATTCCTGCAGCAGTTCCTCTCACATGAAAGCTTGTTATTCAGATCACCAAAGTTATTGCTACTCTAGTGAGTCTTCTATCCATAGTCTGCAGAAAATGATCATGGACTTTTAAGTAAGCGATCTGTCCTGAAGGTAGGCTATTCTGAATAGAAATGGATGTGCAGTAGTGGGCCCTATCAGTGGTAATCTGTGCCAGGGCTCCCAGTGGATTTTGAAGCTGAAGATAGCATTGAACCCTATATAAATATACTGTTTTTGCTCCCTGTACCTATGGAAAGTTTATAAGTTAGGGAAGCTAAGAAATTAATAAGTGATTATAGCAATGTACTGTCATTAGACAATGTGGCCTCAAAATATCTTACACCATGCTGTACTGTATTTTAAGATTAGTTGACCTAGAGTAACAAACCAAGGAAGACAGAACTGCAGAGAACTGCAGATAAAGGACTACTCGAAGCAGCAAAGTTTATTCATGTAGGTTTATAAATTTTGCTCAAATCTTAGGTTAAGAAAAATGTACAAAATAAGATGAAATATAGTTGTTAAATGAGAAATGAATTTTATTAACTGCATTCCTCACCTGGGTTGTAATTTTTTTTTTTTTTGGTACCAGGGATTGAACTCAGGACCTTGCGCTTGCGAAGCAGGCTGCAGAAACACTGAGCTAAATCCCTGGTCTTGGGTTGTAATTTTTCCTTGGTGGTTATTGTCAAAGGAAAAGACTCCTTAAAGAAAACATCAACCAAAAAAGATTTCTATAAATAATTAACATTAGACTTAATGGAAACCTAAACCACTGCTTTCTACCTGCATATTGCATTACATACAAAGAAGTCTTATGACTTAAGGTAGTGTGTTGCATATATATGCCTGTAGTAAACACTTCTTTTATAGGCCTCCATATTATTATGGACCTTCTGTTTTTAAGAAGAGACCAAGAACCAGGAGTGGTGATGCACACCTGTAATCCCAGTGCTTGGGAGGCTGAGGTAGGATTGCTACAAGTTCGACACCAGACTGGGCTATATAGTGAGTTCAAGGCCAGGCTGAATTACACAGTGAGACTCTCAATGACAAAAAAAACCCCTGAAAAATAAAAGAGAAAGCTGGGCATCATGACACATGCTTGTAATCTCAGCTAGTTGGGAGTCTGAGACACCAAAATTCTAAATTTGAGGACAACCTGGGCAATTTAGTGAGATCCTCTCTCAAAAAATAAGGACTGAGGGCTGGGGATTTAGCTCAGTGGTTCCACCGCCTGCCTCACAAGCGCAAGGTCCGGAATTTGATCCCTGGTACCAAAAACAAAAACAAAAAAACCCAAAAAACCAGAACTGAGAATATAGCTCAGTGCAAAGCCCTGGTACATGTGCTTTTGTTCATGGTCTCCTACATCTGCTTTTTTGTATGTTCATAAACACAGAATTTAGCATAACATAGGTACAATTCAGCCATCAAATTTCATTGTTATATGTAGCATGACCTAGAAGTAAATATATTTGGAAATGATCTTTAAAGTTTTTCTGGCTTCTGACTAATATTCAAGACCTGTTTTTTTTTTTTTAAGAATGATTATTTTAAAAGCTTAGATTCAAGTGAATACAGATAAACATTTAAATGAAATTACAAAGACAGTGCAGGATTTGAATGAGAAATTCAGCAAAGAACAATTTTGAAGAACCAAACAAACCTTGGAAATGAAGAGCTGAATAATTCAAATAAAAATACAGTTAAAAGGACTTGGAATACAGCTCAGGGATAGAACACTTGCCTAGCATGGGCAAGGCCCTGAGTTTGATCCCCAGCACCAGAAACAATGACAAAGACAGTTAAAATCCTCAACAGACTAAATCAAGCAAATAAAGACTATCTGAACTTGAAATATCCAAGATAGAAGGGAGTACTGAAGACCTTTGTGGTATCATTAAATGAGGAAACACATCTTGAGAATCCTGAAGGTGAGGAGAAAAATGTTGAGGGCATAGAAAACACATTCAGTCAAAAGAAAATTTCCCTAAACCTGGAAAAGATACAGACATCCATGTACAGGAGGCTTGTATGACCCTCAATAGACAACTTCCGAAAAGATCTTCACCATAGCATATTATAGTCAGAAGTACAAGAGAAAGAACTGTAAAATCTGCAAAAGTGCCAAGTCACATAAGGGTATCCCCATTAGATTAGCCGATTTCTCAGCAGAAACCCCATGGGGCAACAGAGAACGGGAATGACCTATTCCAAGTCCTTAAAATAACAGCCAGCCAAGACTGAGCAGCAAGCCTGTCAGAAATGGAGAAGTAAGACCTTCCAAGAATGCAAAAACTTAGGGAATTAATGACCCATACCAGTGTCACAAAAGATGCTTTCATCCAGAAATGAAAGATAACTATCACAATCATAAAAGCATGTGAAAGTATAAATCCCTCTGAAGAATACACAAAATAGAAAAGAATCAATCTTAACAAAGATAAAGGAGAGTAAGATCAAAGAATATTCAAAACAACTAGAAGAAAAGCTAACGACGAAAATGTCTATCAATAACATTGAATGCAAATGGACCAAATTCTCAAAGGATAGATTGGCTGATGGATTAAAATTAGCAAGATCCAACAATAAAGTGACTAAGAAGTGCCTGCGAGGCAAGTTTATAGCAGTGAATTCCCATATTAGGAAAACAAAATGCACTCAAATAACCTAATGGTGTGCCTCAAGGTCCTAGAAAAATAAGAACAATTCAAACCCAAAGCTAGTATGAAGAAAATAAAGATCAGGGCAGAAATTAATAAAACTGAGACTTAAAAAGTAGTACAAAGAATCAATATATCAAAGAGTTGGTTCTTTGAAAGACTGAACCAAATAGAAAAACCCTTAATCTTACTTTTAAAAAGGAAAGAAAAGACCCAAATCCATGAAATTAGAAATGAAAGGTGGGTGTGGTGGCACAAACCTGTAATCCCAGCACTCGAGAACTGAAGCAGAAGGATCACTGAGTTTGAGGCCAGCCTGGACTACATAGTGAGTTCAAGGCCAGCCTGAATTACAGAGTGAGACCCTGTCTCAAAAACAACCAACCTGAAATCGCAATGGATTCTGTGGAAATCCAGAAGATTATTGGTAACTACTTTAAGAAACTGTACTCCAGTAAAATGGAAAACTCAGATAAATTCCTGGATACATGTGAACTACCAAAGCTTAATCAAGAAGAAAAATAAATTTTAAATAAGCAAAATCAGTCAGTGAAATTGAAGTAATAAACTACCAACTAAGAAAAGCCCAGGTCCTGATAAATTTACTATTGAATTCTATAAGAACTTTAGAAAAGATCTAACACCAATACTCTTCAAACTCTTTAATGGAAGTGAAAGGGAAGCAGTACTTCCAAAGTCATTCCTAGAATCAAACATTACCTTGATTCCAAAACCAGAAAAAGATCCAATCAGAAAAGAACTACAAACTGATCTCTTTAATGAACATAGAAGCAGAAATCTTTAATAAGATACTGCCAAACAGAATGCAGCAAATCATCAGAAAAATCATGCATCATGACCAAGTAGAATTCATTCTAGGAATGTAGGGATGGTTTGACACACATAAATCAATAATCTACCACATAAATAGAAGCAAGGACAAAAACTATATGATCATCTCAATAGGTTCAGAAAAAGCATTTGATAAAAGTCAGCATCCATGATTAAAAACTCTTAAGAAAATAGGAATAGAGGGTCCTTACCTTAATCTGGTAAGGGCCATGTATGACAGATGAAGGGCTAACATAATATTTAATGGCAAGAAGCCGAAAGTTTTCCTCTTAAATCAAAGACAGGACAAGGATGTCTGCTATCACTTTTGTTCACCATAGTTCTCAAAACACTAGCTAGAGCAATTAGACAAGAGAAAAGGGATATGGATAGGAAAAGGAGAATTTAAATTATTTGCAGATGACATAATCCTCTACATAAAAGATCCTAAAAGACTCCTAGAACTAATAACCAAATTCAATAATGTAGTAAGATATAAAGTCAATACTAAAAAATCTATAGGGTTCCTGTGTACCAATAACAAATTCACTGAGAGAGAAATTAAGGAAATAGTATCTTTCACATTAGCACCAAGAAAAATGAAACACTTAAGAATTAGCCTAAGATTTTAGGGCCAGGGATTTAGCTCAGTGGTTCCGCCACCTGCCTTGCAAGTGCAAGGACCCAAGTTCAATCCCCGGTACCAAAAAAAAAAAAAAAAAAGAATTAGCCTAAGAAAATGAAAGGTCCTTACAATGAAAACTACAGTACTCTGAAAAAGACTGAAGAGGATATCAGAAATGGAAAGATATCCACCTGTTCTTGGACAGGTAGAACCAGTATATTTAAAATGGCTATACTCCCAAAATTGTTATATAGATTTAATACAATCCCAATCAAAATATCAATAATGTTTCTTACACAATTGGAGAAAACAATCCTAGAATTCATAAGGAATCAGAAAAGACCTAGAATAGCAGAAGCAATTCTGGGCAACAAGGGCAAGATAGGGGGATCACAATTCCAGACCTCAAATTATACTATAAAGCTACAGTTATTAAAAAAAAAAAAAAAAGCATGGTGTCGGCAAAAAACAAAACAAAACAGAAAACAGACTTGTGGACCAACAGAACAGAATAGAATGTAAGGAAACAACTTCAGGCACGCTCAGTCACACAGTTTTTGACAAAGGGGCCAAATCCCTTCACTGAAGGAAAGATAGCACCTTTAACATTGTACTGGGAAAACTGGCTCTTCATGTGCTAAAGATTGACCTTAGACTCACATCTCTCACCATACACTAAATTAAAATCAAAATGGACCAAAGATTACAGTAGAAATACTTAATGTGCTGGAGGACAAAATAGGTAAAACTAAAAATAAATAAATAA